AGGCTGTGAGGTGTGAGGGTGTGAGGGCAGCCGGGGTGATGAGTGAGGGTGTGAGGCAGGGGGTGTAGTCTGGTGTGGTGAGGGTGTAGAGGCAGACAGGGTGTAGTCTAGTGTGGTGAGGTGTAGAGGCAGCCAGGGTGATGTTAGTGTGAGTGAGGGTGTGAGTGTGTGAGGGCAGACAGGGTGTAGCTAGTGAGTGAGGTGTAGAGGCAGGCAGGGTGTAGTCTAGTGTGAGTGGGGTGTGAGGCAGACAGGTGTAGTCTGGTGTGGTGAGGGTGTGGACACAGGCAGGGGTGTGTCTAGTGTGAATGAGGGTGTAGGGCAGACAGGGTGTAGGCTAGTGTGAGTGAGGGGTGTAGAGGCAGGCAGGGTGTAGTCTAGTGTGAGTAAGGGTGTAGAGGCAGACAGGGTGTAGTCTGGTGTAAGTGAGGGTGTATAGGCAGACAGGTTGTAGTCTGGTGTGAGTGAGGGTGTGAGGCAGACAGGTGTAGTCTAGTGTGAGTAAGGGTGTAGGGGCAGACAGGGGTGTAGTCTAGTGTGAGTGAGGCACAGGCAGGGTGTAGTCTAGTGTGAGTGAGGGTGTAGAGGCAGGCAGGGGTGATGGTAGTCTAGTGTGAGTGAGGGTGTAGAGGCAGCCAGGGTGATGGTAGTCTAGTGTGAGTGAGGGTGTAGAGGCAGTAACATTCTGGGTCTATCACAGCCAGTCAGACTCTCTCCCTTTATGGGTAGATATGTCTCTCCCGGGATAACACTCTCTCTCTCTCTCTCTCTCTCTCTCTCTCTCTCTCTCTCTCTCTCTCTCTCTCTCTTTCCCAGCTTTGTGAGATACGACTTATGTTTTATCTCTTAAGAGGAATTATTGGAGAAAGTTTAAAAGAATTGTTGGTGAAAACCATGAGGAATTATTTGTGAAAGTCAAGAGGAATAATCGGATAATCTCAGAGAAAGAATAATTGGTAAAAAGAGTAAGATAATTCGTGCATATCTAAAGGAAGAGAAAAATTTGAGAGAAAAAGAAAATTAAGAATAATTACTAAAAGTTAACAAAGAGACCGAGAGAAAAATGAAGGTTAAAGATGTAGTAAATTAACCCAAAAAGAGAAGGAAAATTAACGGAAGGCAAATGATGAAGAGAGAGAGAAGAAAATCAGACAAAAATAAAGAAATAGAAAAGAAATTTACGTTAATTAACCCGAAGAAACTTAACCCCAGGGAAGAAGAAGACGAAGAAGACGAAGAAGCTCCTCCTCCAATTAATGAATTACCATAACAACACCTGGCGGGAATGAAGACGGTGGGAGGACAGATAAAGTTCAAGATGGTGGAGAGATTTTCTTTTTTGTGTGTTAATTAACCTTGTAAATGAGGATAATGAGACTAGGAGTTTCAAGATAAGAGGAAGGAAGATAATTATAATTTGTTTTGCTATTCACTACTTGTAAATGGTTGTCAGGTGTAAATCAGTCGAGTAGGCGGTGGTGGGTGCAGTGACTTGTCAAGCCTTGCCTCTCTCTCTCTCTCTCTCTCTCTCTCTCTCTCTCTCTCTCTCGACTTTACCTCCTGGCTACCTCTTGTCTTTTCTGTTTCTACACACAGCTTAGGGACGCTAAGTGCCTCGATAAATTTGCTTGGGGAAGGAAAGAAGGTACATATATAGGATCGGAACTGAAGAGGAGAGCAAGAGAGAAAGAGAGAGACAACGAAAAAGAGAAAGAGATTAATTGAGAGAGAAAGACAGAGGCAGAAAGAGCAAAAGAAAGAAAGACAGAGAGAAAGTGCCAGAAAGGGTAAGAATGCCGTATGGAAAGTTAGGTTTGTAATAAAACCTCGTAACTTGTGAGGAACAGTGCCGGGGTATTTGTGTTAGTTTACGGTAAAGGGAGGCTTGAGTTACCTGCTGGTGCGTGAATATCTTAACAAATTAACTTTTATTGTGTTGCATCTCTTAAACTACACGTTGGGCTGGAAACTGTATGTAAAATAGATGTGTTTTATGTGGGAGCTACAGAAGTCAGGTGTGTATTTTAGGTGAAGTTAAAGAAGTTAGGTGTGTATTTTAGGTAGAGCTACAGAAGGCACGTGTGTATTTTAGGTGAAGTTACAGAAGTCAGGTGTGTATTTTAGGTAGAGCTACAGAAGGCACATGTGTATTTTAGCAGAGTGTACAAGACAATGGTGGGTGAGGTTTGTCAGGGCGGAGTGAGAACGATCGCTACTCGTTCACTTTCTCTCCTCTGATCACCAAGATGAGTATATCACCACCTCTTCCCTGATCAGCCCAGCCGCGATTTGTCGACCGCTGGTATTGGTTCTCTGCTGCGTCGTCTGCATCAGTGAGTCAGCGATTATATAACCTGGGGAAGGGTTATCAAGTCAGTGCTGGTTTTATAATGTCTTTGGAGGAACAGAAGAGGTGGTGGGTGGGATGGGGAGTAGTGAGGGTGGGGGAGGAGGAGAGGGTAGAGTAGGAGGAGGGAGGATGGGGTAACATTAGAGGATGGGAATAGGAGTTAGGGTGGATGAGGAGGAAGGACTGCGTGTGGGGAGAAGTTAGGGTAGAGTAGGAGTCAAGGTGGATGGAGGAGTCAGATAGTGGGGGAAGAAACAGGGAGAAGGACTAAGGGTGGGGGAACGAGGAAGGATTAGGGAGGAGTAAGACTGGTGGAGGAGGAGGAGTGAGGTAGGGTTGTGGGGGATGGGAGGAAGGAGGGAGGGTGGGAGGTAGGTATCGCTGCACCTGCCGGGGGTCACCTGGGACATGACGACCTCATTGGTGCCGACCCACTAAGCACCTCTCGCCTCTCCTAGGAATAGTCTCTGGCAAATTTATATAGAAGCAGTTTTTTTCTTCTTATCCATTAAAGCTTCAAATAATAACAGCGGCAGCGTGAATCAATGTATAAACGCGAGATTTTTCCTGGCTGTCATGGTCTCAGGGTGAGTCAGGCGGCAGCAGAACTGAGCGACAAAAGACTACCATCGTTGCTGACAGGCCAAGATCATGAGTTGCCTGGTTGCTCTATACACACAGAGCCTTACCAGTATACTGTATATAAAGCTAGAGGGGAGTCCCGTAGTGTGTGTATCTGTGTATGTCTCTGTGTATAGAAACGACCTTCATAGATACTCTGCAATGAAAACCCGCTGCCAGCCATGCATTCACCCCGTAGCATTACAGACAGTCAACCGCCGCGCTGGTGGGCAATGAACCAGTGCTTGAAGTGTAACTCAGGAAACTGGCCAGGCACGAGGTGAAGACTTGTGTACGAGGACTTAGATATCACCGCCAACATTACCGTGACTGAGCAAGCTGGTTCAACCTGTCTCGCCTCTACCTCATTACACGACGGCTCTGCACACACATATACATTGAGGTTATAAACGTTTATTCGTGAGTGGAAATTCATATATTGTGAATGTATATTAAACAATTTTATGGATAAGTTTATAAGTATTGATCCGTGTTTAGTGTCATCATGGTTCGATTATTGAACATGTGATATAGAGAGTTGCCAGAGCAGTGATCACCCCTGGTTGGATGTATCTGTGTCGCGTCACTTTCCTGGAGCACAGAAGGTGTGAGTCGTCTTCTCTGAATCGAAATGAAAAAAAGAAAATCAGAAACAATTGATAAACAAAACAAAATTCATAATATGGAAATTCTTAATTCTTTCGTCTTTACATTCTGAAAAGGTTTAGTTTAGATAGATTTGTTAATAGGTTAATATATAGATTAACGCTTATAGAAACGGTTATAGGCTATAATATAACATTCTATTTCATTTATATTCGTGTAGGAAAGTGATAATAAACTCTCTCTTCGCTATATGTATCTCCAGATGGGTTTTTTTAAGTTAATAAAAATTTATCATCGGTAGAGAGCGAAGGTTTTTACAGGTTTTTTAAAACTATACTTGTAAGAACCTGTAATGATCGCCTCCCCACTGATGTATCGTGTGAGGTCACGCCAGAGGTTCAGAGGTGTGTGGGTGTGTGTAGTGTGCCGCTATCTTTAAACCCCTCTGTATACGAACCTCTTAACCATTTAAACCTCATCGTGAAGGTTCTGGAAACAAACGCCATCTATCGGTTCCTCCGCTCACCAGGACACTCAGGTCATTAACTCCCAGACTCGAGCCTTACTTAGTCGTCAGGTAGAGAGCGTCATCTGGACACTTCCTCACGTCTTCCTTCTTGAGGCTGTGATCTGAAGGCGATAACTCGGTACCATCAACACACTTTGGTATTCTTAGTACTATCTATTGTCATGGGAAGGAATTGTTACTCTTTCATTGATTTTATTTTTTTTAAAGGATTATCAGGTTAGGGAAATAATGGTTAAAGATTTTGTTGTCATTAGGTTGGGAATATTAACTAACGCGAAGGTTCGAAAATATATAAGATACATCACTCCCGTAGCTACTGTATTTCTCTCCCTACATTATACAATTCACTTGTAATCTCAAAATCATTTATTATACATTGTATATTATCTCCTCTTAAGTAACATCAAACACAAGTATATAAGGTGACAGCTCATACCAAACACAGCCAACACTAAACGAGTTGTCCATCGGTTGGATCAGTAGACACGTAAACAAAAGATAATAAATTACTATAAAGATTTCAAGTATGTGGTAAGAGGCTGATCCAGGTGGAGGACACTCGGAGTACTGACAGGATGTTATTCTTGCTAGTGTGACAGGTGTAATGGGTGTTGGGGGTAACCAGGTGGACAGGTAACCCCTACAGCCACCCCCCTCTCTTGTTGTTGATTTCCAGGACTTGCACGCATGCATGGATTCAAAAGCATGTTTAATTTTTCCTCTCTCTCTCTCTCTCTCACTCTCTTTCTTTTTTCTCTCTATCTCTAACACATATTTAACCCGACGTATCGAAGTTCAGAACGCCCTTTGAGAAAAATACTTCCAAGTAGTATGTTGTGGTTAGGGGTCTTCTTGCCACGAGTTGTATATAAGAGAACATTTTTAAATTTCAAGCGGACCCCCCGAAGCTACGCCGTACGACCAACGCCTCGCCAGGTATTTCAGGTGTTAACCCATCAGCGTCTAGTCTAGCCTTGGAATTGTTGACGGTGAACCAACTAGGTTTTAGTATGCCGCAAGAGATATATATATATATACTATATATATATTATTTTTTTCTGATTTCGCACCGTGTTCCTTAGTATACCCAGAATGTTGCTGCCCCCCCCCCCTTCCCTCTAATCAATGCCCACCACCCTGCCCACCCCCCCGCCCCAAAAGTGATAGCTCAAATGCTCTCACTGGTCAGACCTTCCCCCTCCCCATGTCTCCCTCCCTCGTCTCCCCTGATCCTAAACGATGTTGAATGTCCCTCAGTAAACCAACACTTTGTAGTAGTTGTCCCTCTTGTCTGTAGCGATGACTTGTTCCTGTTCCTCGTATTCATCTGCACAACAACGCCAGTCTTGTAGCCATAGTCTAACTGTACCCTATTTTGTATGATACTCTCCTTTTTGCAGCATTTATCTGGGTCATTTTCTTAGCTCATTTCTTTAGCGTGTAGTCGGAGGCGCGTTCTTCGCCCCTGACCTGCCACCCCACGTGCGAGACCCCAAGACCTATGATTAAGAACTTTTATAAACTCTTGAGAAAAAAATCAAAACATTTTTTTTCTCTTTTAGTGTAAATATTCAATAAATGAAATAAACAGTTTTGAAATTTCTTGGTCAGTGTTCAGGTCTTGCACGTCGAAGGGAAGAATGGCGTCCCAAATTTCTTTTAATATGACAGAATTTTTTCCTCCCAATATCATGTGAGTTCTTCGTCTGTTCTCCATGGAATATATATGTGTCTATATACTGATTGTCATTAGTTATAACATCTAGTTTTCTTAGCCAAAAGAATAAACTTATTAATAGTTTTAGTTTTATGATCTCGAAGTTTTATAATGAATGTTTAATGTGTCGTCTTGGTAGATAGTCCCCCTCAGAGTATCTTAAAGACACTTATATATTATTATCTCACTCACAGCTTTATATAAAAAAACTCTCCCAGGTATACTGAGTCAAGCCAGTCCTCACCCACAACTTGACACACTCTTAAGGTATACATAGTTGTCCTCCCCTTTTTATCAATATTTTGCATTAGTCTTGTTTTTCCTATTTCATTCATAGAGACGTTGCAAGGATGACATACTCTAGTTGTTTCTCTCTCAAATTTTACTGCACCTCTCTTTATATTTTTTCTCGTGATTAATTATTAAAGTAGTTATCCCTAACTCAAAGTACAATCCATTTGCTGATTTTGTATCATACTTTTTTCTTAACTAGTAATAAAATACAGTACAGTAGATGTCATTTTATAAACTAGTACCGACACGTCCAGTTCTTATCAGACCTTCACAAAGGTATGTAATGTTATGAACTAATAGTAATCCCTTACTGAATTATAAATCCACTTGACCCATTTACCATTATATACCTCCATTAGTGAGAGAAGTAAAAAAAAAAATATTGAAATACTTTAGTTATACCTTACTGAGATATACAACCCACCCACCCGTTGCCCAATTTCTCTCAGATCCAACACAAGCACTCAGGGTTGAAACACGTCACTGCCTCACTCAAGCACAGTCCACTTACTCGTATTTTTTTCTCTCGTCATGCCTTTACCAGGAAGAACGCGAGAGAAAAGGAGAAGGATGCTGCCGCCATGTTCGAGAGTGCCCACATCTTCCAGGAGTACACGTACAAGAAGTTAACGGCTTGTGATGTGTGTCATCAGATACTCAGAGGTAAGTGCCTCACCTGCCTCCTGTAACAACTGTCTTCTCCTACACCAGCTGTCTCCTCCTGTACCAGCTGCCTCCTCCTGTACCAGCTGCCTCCTCCTATACCAGCTGCCTCCTCCTATACCAGCTGCCTCCTCCTCCTCCTCCTGTACCAGCTGCCTCCTCCTGTAACAACTGCCTCCTCCTCCTCCTCCTCCTCCTCCTGTACCAGCTGCCTCCTCCTGCACTAACTGCCTTCTTCTCCTCCCCTTCCTGTACCAGCTGCATCCTTTTCCTCCTCTTCCTTTTGTACCAGCTACATCCTCTTCCTCCTCCTCCATGACCTGTTGTGACTGCTCTTCATTAACATATAATCATTCAGTCATCCCATACTTTTAGAACTAGCGGTGATTAGACGACGTAATTAATCTGTTTATATTATTAGGGTATGATAATTTTTATCATTAAAATCGTTGTTTGTTATTATTTTTATTGTTATCATCATCATCATCATTATTTGGAATTGCCATCAAAACATTATCAACAGCATCATCATTATTTTCTTAAACAAAACCTTTAAATAGAAAAGCATATTCAATTTCACACACTTAAAGGCTTCAGTATTGTGTCATCCACGAGTGTATGGGTAATGCAAACACTATACATACGACTGTGTTTCTCAGTGTAATTATTAGGTTTTCAGTTTATCTTTTGGTAGTGTTGGGAAGTTTGTGTGTGGTACATATTTCATCGTCTGTGGATTATATCGTTGTGGAAATGAGATAGAAAGTGGAGGTTTGGTCGTACGTCAGGCAGTGAGATCTGGTTGATGTGTCGCTGCAACTGTCGGAGAAACTGTCGTACTGTAAGTTTGGCCTCATACACAAACACACACACACACACACCTGCTGCCCTACATCTGTCACTTTACCTGCCCCAAATCTGTCACTTTACCTGCTCCACATCTGCCACTTTACCTGAACCACACCTGCCACTACACAGACCAGGTTAATAAACATCTGTTCCTGAAGAGATGCTGTGTTTTACGGTAAGGTGTGATTGAGGAGTGGGTGGCTGGGTGGGTGGGTGGCTTAATATGTGTAGGCTGTGTCAATAACTAGGTGTAAGTGGGTGGGTGGCTTAATATGTGTAGGCTGTGTCAATAATTAGGTGTAAGTGGGTGGGTGGGTGGCTTAATATGTCAATAACTGGGTGTGGGTGTGGTTTGAGTGACTGTGTGGGTATGAGTCTAGATGGGCGGTGGGGCATGACATTGACTAGGTATGAAGGTAGGTGGGGAGGTAGATGGGTGGGTATTTGGTAGATGTGTGTGGGTGAATGGATACTCTGGTAGAACTAAGGGTCAGGTCAGGTCAGGTCAAATCCTGGGAATAACAGAATTAAGTCTTATTTATAGATCAGCCTTCACTCCCCGCCTCTCCTCCACCCCCCTCCCTACCTCCCCTCTCTCTCTCCCCCTCCCTACCTCCCCCCTCCCTCCCCTCTCAGTCTGGATACTAACCATTAACGTGACGGATCATCCTGGGAATAATACACCCTTGCTGGGGGGGAGGTAAACAATGAATGAGTGTGTGTATACTTGTGTTTATATGAGGGAACTAGTGTGTATACTTGTGTTTATATGAGGGAACTAGTGTGTATACTTGTGTTTATATGAGGGAACTAGTGTGTATACTTGTGTTTATATGAGGGAACTAGTGTGTATAGGTGATAATTATGACCGAGCATATTTTACACTCTTAATATTGTCCATTATCGTGTTTACCGAAGAATTGATCAAATAAGACTCAATGTTCGATCAAGAAACATTCTGTATATACCTTGTGAACCCTCGGCTTTGTTTGGCCTGGACTCTAGCGTGTGACGTCATAGATTCCTTGTGACGTCAGAGATTCCTGGCTACTGTTTACGCCGCCATATTGCTTGAAGGTTAATGTTGTCTTAAGTGATCATAGCGATAAAGTTTGTTAGTGGATATTTCTTCTTTCTTGATTTTGTTAATATATTTAGAATATATTTTATCGTGTCTTCGTGTTTTTGGGGTTTTTTTTTGCTTTAATTATTCATATATAGTCGCCGTGACTCTGAACCTTAGAGTAACTAGGAAGAGGAAGGGAAGACTGCACCACCTGTTTAGTGTTTACGATTTTAATAAGTTTCTTCAGATGGTTGAGTCACTTGTTGTCTACCCAGTGTTTGTGAGGTGTTTGTATGGTGTTTGTTGTCCTGTGTAAGCGGGAGAGGTAGAGACTTTATGACGGATTCTTCCCTCCCTCCCTCCCCCCATCCACCCCCCCATCCACCCCCCCCATCCACCCCTCCCTCATGCAAACTTTATCACAGTAAAGGTCACCTAAACTTACTTTAGATCACGGAAATATTTTTATGATGTTTTACAATTCTTGATGTTTAATTGACGAAAAACTTTAGGTCTGTCTCCCCCGGTGTGTCTTATAATGTGCTGTAGACACACACAGACACACACACACACACACATGCCTAAGTCACTAACATACCAACAATAAACCCCTGATATTATGACCCACCTTTTTTAAGTTTAGCGTCGACGGCCTCAAGTATTGCTTTATGGGTGTCGCTGGATGGCAGGTTAATGACCCCGACTACGCAGGCGAAACGGTGCTGGAAAACTGACCCCTAAAATTAGTGAGAGAATTGGCTGCCTGACACGTAATGTAGCTTTGTGTACATGGCTGGCTGGCTGGCTGTCTGGCTGTGTACTACCATTAGCCATTACTGTATATTTAACAGGAGGTAAATGCGTGTTATTTTTAGTCAAACGAGCAACTAACAGCTAACCGCCCACACACCGTCACTCTAACTTGTCTAAAATTGTCAAAACATAAACAAAAATATATTCAATGTATATGTAAATAGATAAAACTATATAAATACAGATAAAAAGTAGAAATATGAATTAAATGGATCACATGAAGATTAGACACACAAGTTTATTACACCTGATGGTTACCTGGGGTTAGGTTAGGTTAAGTTAGGTTAAAGTTAGGTTCGGTTTGATTAAAGTTATGGTAGGTTAAAGTTAGGTTAGGTTTGATTCCATTATTTTTTAGGCCGTTAGATTAGATTTTGGTAAGGTTAAATTAACTTAGGTTAGATTAGATAAGGTTAAATTAAATTAGGCTAGGTTAGGTTTGTTAACCCCCCACCCCCACCCCCCCACCCCCCCCAGCCAGTTCCTAGCTCCCTGTTCCTCGAAAATTAACAGGCCGAGAAATTTGCATAAATATACCTCATATATATATCGAGGATTTGTAAATATAGGTCAAGATTTCACGCCTTGGCCGCCTTCTCTCGTGTGTGTGTGTGTGTGTGTGTGTTCGCCGTGTTCGTTCGTGATTCCATTAATAAAACCGGGAATTGTGAACGCAGGGATTCGAACATATTGAAAAAAAATAAAATATATCACCAAAATTCTGAAGAAAAAATAATATAGAAATATATCTCAATACAGGACGAAAATATTACCACAGGAAAAAAAAAACAAGAAAAAGATAGAAGGAAATATATCGACGGGAACGAAAAATATTGCTCAAATTCACGGCCCTTCCACTGATGAAAAATAACAATGAAAAAGTGGCAAGTTTTTTTTACAGTGTTTACATATTGATGATAAAGGTGAGTCTGATATTCAAATGAGGATGTATTCAGGGCCCTGGGAAAATGGGCGGACACACAGACTGACACACTGACTGACACGCAGGCAGGCAGACACACACACACAGATACCGGCACACTGGCACACTGACATTGACATACATAGGCACACTGATTCACAGACACGGATAGACACACACACACACACACACACACACATCCTGACGCACATAGCAACAGACACAGGCATTAAAACCACACTGTAACAGACACACACACACACACTCGTCAGTCGTCACCCGCCAAGCTATCCGGGAGGCCAGACAGTTGCCAGAGATTAGATACAAATTGATTTCTACCAATTAACTGAGCACAGTATTTATGATGACAAACCTCATTAGTTATTATTAATGAGATTTTGTGTGTTGGCTTTGTTGATAGATGCTTCTCAGGAGGTGGTTCATTAGTGGAGGTTTTCACTGAAGCCTTTTTCTATGTTTAGTCTTTATTGAAGCTTTACATAGGTACGATAATGAGAAGGGCGTTAAAACTTTTAAATTCAGCCTTTTCTAATGTTTAGTATTTATTGAAGCCATTACCAAGAGCTAAGCTTCACTCAGATATGTTAATGTGAATGATATTTTAACATTTTTACAGGAATAACATTGATAATCAGAAAATTCTGTACGTACTTTGATCCGAGTAACAGGTGATGTTATGTCGATGTTGGAGAGAGGTTCCAATCCCTTATCACTTGACAGCTCTATCAGTTGAACCTCCAGCACTGGGTTCACTTGACAGCCCTATCAGTTGAACCTCCAGCACTGGGTTCACTTGGCAGCTCTATCAGTTGAACCTCCAGCACTGGGTTCACTTGGCAGCTCTATCAGTTGAACCTCCAGCACTGTGTTCACTTGGCAGCTCTATCAGTTGAACCTCCAGCACTGTGTTCACTTGGCAGCTCTATCAGTTGAACCTCCAGCACTGGGTTCACTTGGCAGCTCTATCAGTTGAACCTCCAGCACTGGGTTCACATCAGTTGAACTCCAGCACTGGGTTCACTTGGCAGTTTCCACTTGAAGAACCTCCAGCACTGCTGTCACCAGCAGCTTATCAGTTGAACCTCCAGCACTGGGTTCACTCCAGCACTGACTAGCTCTATCAGTTGAACCTCCAGCACTGGGTTCACTTGGCAGCTCTATCAGTTGAACCTCCAGCACTGTGTTCACTTGGCAGCTCTATCAGTTGAACCTCCAGCACTGTGTTCACTTGGCAGCTCTATCAGTTGAACCTCCAGCACTGGGTTCACTTGGCAGCTCTATCAGTTGAACCTCCAGCACTGAGAGTTTTGTCTGGTCGTGGTTTAGAAT